CAACTATATTATAGAAACTTTATTATTTATTGTTTTAAAGGCTAATTCCGCTTCGCAAATACTCTGCCACAATATACTCTAGCTTTACTCCTCACACAGATTTGTAAAGGCATAGTTCCATATCAATCCCACTCTCATCTCCCTTTTACTGTCGAATGGTTTTCATCTCCATTTTGCTGGTAATCCTTTATTCCAAGTATCTTCACAATCACCCTCTAGTGATTAGCTGCGCGTACCTTCGCTTTCAGTATGGCCTTTGATTAGTATACAACCACTACCCGACTCCAGCTGACTCTACTTAGCTCTCCGATCACACGATCGAAGGTTCGTAGGATACACCACGTATAGGTGAGAGTCATCGTATCCCATAGTACAATATTATCATTATCATTTAATAGTATATACGAGTTCCCAGGAAATATATTACTTTTGCAATAAGTCAGCCGTGGAGGTCATCAAGAAACGAGGAATGGATAAAATACACTGTAGATAGTACTGAATTATTACAACTCAGTTTTATAAATAGCAAATTTCTATTTATTCAAATTATTATATTTTCAATGTACACTTTCCCTTTTAATGTAATCAGTCTGATTAATAGCAGATATTCTAATAAAGTATTTATTAATCGATTATTTATTAATCAATATAAAATTCATATCTAACTTTTACCCTATTACTAATAGTTTTATTTAGTTGATAATAATGTAACAAATATTATCACAAAATATTTTATTATACTTATAGCAATAGAATTATATTTAGAAACCTGAATATTCTTTATTACAAAACTCTCTCCTGATATACTAGTCATTTTTGGCTTGCTATGATTACAATACCATAACCCGCATATAAATTGGGCGAATATGATATTTTCTTTTACTTTTCGATACTGCATAACACAATATTATCACAAGGGAAGCTTGTGCCCTCAAGTATCTATAATCAAATCAATTTAATAATAATCTGATAACACCTTAATTTTTTAAAGTATTAATTCAAAAACTAAAAGGATTTTGAATATATTATTATTATTAAAGATTGTTTTCTAAAAAGTTTATAAAACAAAAGATTATTAGTTATTTGATAACTTTATTATTGAATTTAAGTAGCTCATTATTAAATGCAAAAAGACTGTCGAATAATAAGTTGCCAATCTTAAACTCAAAGTTTTATAAGAATTAATCGATGCTTCAGTTAATTGCTCCAATAAACCTTTTGCCATTAATATCGATATATAAATAGTTTGATAGCAAGGTATTTATAATAATTAAAAAAAAGATTTATTTTAACAATTAATATAAAAATCAAAGTATTAATTTTAGTAATTAGAAAAAACCTAATGAAAAGAAGCCTGTTATTGTTATTGTAATATCTATATCTAATTCCTTTAGAGATTCTATATAATTGGATATTGCTCGCCAAGGCCAGCGATCCTTATTATATTACAATAGAGAATAATATCTAAATCTTGGCCTCTGCTTTTATTACAAAAAGTCTGATTATATCAAATTCAATTATAAAGAAAAGTGATGCAATGATATAAAATATAATACCAATTCAGGAATCATACAATACTCTGATTGTTCTTTTACTACAAACCAATATACTCCGAATGTCCACCGTTTTTTTATTACTGATTATTATTATAATCCTGAATCTTATTGTAATATTTATAGCTTTACTTATCAGAATATATTCCTGCCTGCTAATCGTTTCTCAATTACCACAATATCATTTCGATATGCCTCTCCAATCCCTACTGGTAGCAGAGATTTGGACGGATTCGTCAAAGGCTTTGTATATTCGGATGATAGCGGAAATTCAATTCTCTAGCTAAATATATTAAAAGATTAACCTCGATTTATAATTGCGAATTGAGGTTCTTTATGGAAAGTTTGTCTTTATGGATTAAGAGATTGGTTATATCTAGAGATCCTTTATATCTTAAAACAATAAATAGCAAATCTCTTAAAATCTCAATAGAAATTTTCCTTGTGCTTAATATGATTATTCTATTTATTAATTTAATAAATAATGGAACTGCGAAATATAGGTTTATAGATAGAATCCTTATATCCAAGCTTGGTATTCCTATATATCCCCTTCTTATTACTCACAATCTGTTATTTACAGATAGAAGGACTTCTGATATTCTATTTCAATATATACTATTAGATCTATAGATTAATAATTATAAAGAAATTGGCTTATTCTATATTACTAATCTTTTCAATGCTATCACGGTGCAAGGGATAGGTACTAGATTGGATATATGATATTCTACAAAGAGGTTGAAAGTGGTATAATGTAACTTTGCTATATAATGGCAAAGATGACTAAGCATTCATTACGCTAATATACTATGCTAGTAAATCTGTGACAGTACTTTCCCCTTTAAGACTTACTTGTTCCAAGCAAGCTGAGAGAAAGTATATTATGCAAACTGCATTTTCTTTTATTATAATAAACGCCTTCGCTTTCCAAATTCTTTTGTAACTTTTTATTCAGAAATTAAAATTGCTTTAGTCTTCGGGTTTTCTAATATTCATTTCGGTGGATCTGGTTTCTTTGGGTGTAAGTAATAATAATGAGCTATAATCTTTTCATTATCTTTAAGATCTAAAGCTAATTGCTAAGTTGGGGCATAATATTTTTATTTGATTAAATAGTAATATCTATCCTCATTATGATTATTCAAAATACCTTCGAATTGTCACGGGATCACTTCTGGGAGTATTCAGAAGCTTTACCGCTGAGCTAAACGCCCAAAAGACTAGGAGGTAGAACTGGAAGTTCTATCTTACTCTCACATATATAGCAGGACAGGACAGAACAGGACAGAAAGGGCTTAGTGTCACCCTGTGACATCACCCCCCTCCTTAAGGTATGGTCTCTATACTATTACCTACTAAGAGGTTTCAGGATTCTGGATTCTAATACCTTAGGTATTCAGACAGGCAGACAGGATCTATATATGCTAGCCCCCAAACCAATGAAGACTTGTAAGCTATAAATAAGCCCCCCATACAGCTCCACTTATAACCAAAGATAATTCTACCTAATATCACAGGATCACTTCTAGGAATATTCAGAAACTTTACCGCTAAACTAAATACCCAAAAGACTAGGAGATAGAACTGAAAGTTCTACCTTACTCTCACATATATAGCAGGACAGAACAGAACAAAAAGGGCTTAGTGTTACCCCGTAACAACTCTTATCCAAATATTTAATCAATATCAAAAAAGCTATTTTAATATATTAATATACTAATCAGAAAGCAATCAATACTTTTCAAAGAAAGTTATATAAGTTAATTCAATTCGATAGAATTAGGAAATCAATTAATAAAAAATTTGATTTATTCTTTTTTGAAAAGATTATTTATTTTTATTTCCTTTTATGGAAAAAGGAAATCCCTTTCGAAGTTAATATTAATTAGGCTTCAAAAGAAAATGCAGCAATACTTTATAATATTATTTTAAATATAGAGATCAAAATATTATTTATATTTATATAGATGGTTTTTCTATTGAAAAGGGAATAGGTATTGGTATAGGGATAATATTAATATAATTGAATAATCAGATTTTATATCAGAATAAGTCAATATTAAAAGCAATCAATTAGTCTATAATGGAGAGCTATATGGAGTTATTCGAGCTATTGAATATACTAGCTCAATTGCTAGTAGTGGAAAGAAGTTCAAGGTTTATTTAGATAATCAAGCAGACCTTTTTCAATTGAAAATATTCTTAGATTATTCAGGCTAAATATATCAAATTTGAGCAATCAAGGTAGTCAAAGTTATTATAACTAAAGGATCTGAAATATCCTTAAATTGAATATTAGGGCATATATCAGTAAAAGGGAATGAGCTAGTAGATAAGCTAGCAAAAAAGGTTATTACAATATAATTCATCTTAAATAAAACTAGTTTTGAATTACTAGGAATAATAATCAAAGAATCCTCTCTCAATTAATAGAGTTTAATTCTCAATCAATATAAACTCAGATTCAATCAATTAGTATTAACCTATTCAAAACTATTTCCGTAGAAAATCGGATTGAAAATTAAGCTATCAATTGAAATTAATCGAAATACTACTAATACACTCTTTCAATTGAAATTAGGTTATGGATATATCAAATTATATCTATATTGATTCAATCACTCCAATAATAAATATATATACAGTAATATTGAAATACCACAACATCTCCTAATTAACTATCCTATATACAAAATAAAAAGAAAAAAGACATTCCAAAATATACCATTATCGAAAATCATTATACAATTCCTATTGTATACCAAAATAGATATCGAATTAGCTATCAAATTTATCAATATCATCAAAATCACTACAAGAGCATAACATCTAGTAAGGATTTTTGAACAAGAAGTAATAAAGAAAAAAGTAATAATAGAAAAGAAAGAGAAGAAGATAATGAAAAAGAAATAATTAAGGAAATAAGAAAAAGACTTAACCTCCTCATAATTTCTTGATCATCAGAATTTTCTTATTATATGCAATACATATAATAAGCAAACACTGTTCCCCAGCATTTGTTTTCACTTCCCTAATAAAATCATAACCAATATTATAAATCAAAAAGTTACCTATTAGGCCCATCAGGCCTAGCCATCCTATATAATCTTAGACTAAAGGTAGATGTAAATTCAATCAATCAATCAATCAATCAATCAATCTTCAAACAATTACTATCATTATTCAGCCCCGTATTCTACACTTCACCACCTTCTCTTCACCATTCTTTTGCTTTTTGGTTACATATTTGTTTCTTCTTCTCCGTCATGCATATATGCAACCAGCTTGCTTCAGTGACGAAGTATGTACGCGCTTGTTTTTGCACTCAACCTCAGAACAATTTGTAGCAAGTGGAAAATTGTGGGGGGAGGTATGATTTTATTTGAATATTGTGGGAAGAGTACTAAGATAAACTTGATAGTTCTGATGCTGGCTCTGTTTCTGTCAAAAGGCGCTCCAAATCTTTCGAACGCAAGGCCAAACACGTTCAACAAAGGAATGACGCAAATCATCAAGAACCGACCACTCAAGAGTAGCAAATCCTTGGCCACGGGCACGATAACGCTCAAGCGCAGCCGCGAGAGCTTCAGATCTCGATAGAGGGACAAAGACGTCTTCCTTCCCGTGCAGCATATACAACCGTGTATTTTTCGTCCAACTCTCGGATAGACCTTTTTTTCTTCTTGCATCTGTGCTATTATTTCCAGCGGCGTCGTGGAAAACTTCGCCCATGTACTAATAGCTGCAAGGCCCGCGGCCTTTCTTTGAGTGAGCAAAAAAAGATACAAGATTGAAGCTCCCTGACTATCTCCCATGAATACGATTCTGTTCGCAGGCGTACCCATTGCAACCTCCGTGTCAATGAGATGTTCAAAGTAATCAAGCGGAACCTCAATATCACGTACATCAGAACGATGCTGTAGTGGTGATAGATTTGAATATCATTACAGGATTTGAGAATGAAGCTTAAAACCACCTCACCTCACAAAGTACCTACCAAGACGCTTGACGTGATGTAAGCTTACGTAAGCAAGTGAGCCAATCCTGTTGATCCACCGATCTAATAGACTGTGACCGTTTTCTGACTAAGCACAATCTGGTACGTCCAAGCAATCACAGACCGAAGAGCCACACTTTCCTCTACCTACCTACCTACCTAGACATCCATCCATCCATAGGTTAGACCATTTTACCAACAATTGGCGTGAAAGAAGCAACACACATGATTTCCCATTCAATCGAGTTGATGGATCACACTCTTTGATGCAAGCGCCTGATCGGAGCTCAAACTTCATGACTTATGGCCTCACTTGGACCGAGCATTTTCACGTCTCACGTCTCACGTCTCACGAAGGAATTATAATCTTTTACATAGGTAAATTCGCAGCTTCATACATTTTCACATTTTTGACACCAACCCAAATCCATAGCCGTCAGCTGGAGCGTCAGCTGGAGCGTCGTCCGCCAACAGCGATGACCATGCACCAGAACAAGTGCACACTGACTCAAGGTATGGTAACTAACCCAGTTCATCCCCATGCACAATCTTGTGGGAAAGCACAAGTTCATTATGCAACTTTTATCGTGAGCGTCGACCGCTGAGTTGCCAATCAATATCTTCCTTCTTATAGTTCAAGGCACGGCGCGTTGCAGCCAATTTGTCGATTTTCTTATTCGTCCTCCTGAGTTCGTCAACCAGGTCTTCGCGATGATTGCGATTATTCGAATTGTAGAATATCTCCTCTGCCGTATCCTCCCAGATTGTCTCCATCAATTTAGTCGCCTTGGATCTCTAAGCATGATCGTAAGTTCGATGCAATCATACACCATTTCCTTTATGATCAAAACAGGAGCATCGACTTGGTGGTGGGCGGCACAATGTCTTATCTGCGCGATCCTACAGAGCATCTGCTTGAACTCCCGGACACTACAACGAACAAGGTACAGATGATCTTCGTTTATATAAACATTTCGCAATACTTTATGGAATTCCTGAAGCTCAGCGTGGCCCGCTTTGTACCACAATAAAGCGCAGAACAGCTTCCCATAATCGTATCTTTGAGCCCAATCATACAACGTTCTTACAATACAACGATGGGTATCATCCAAAATTCCTTGCTGTATGTCGAAATTAAAAAAATGTACTATTGCGTGCCGTGGTACGCGATAAAAACCAATTGACATGTATTCCGAAGTGGGCGATACCATTTTTGAAGCCTTGACTTTACACACAGATAATGTCAGGAAAAGACTAAACAAAGTTCAAACCACGCAACGTACCATAATCACAACCAGCATTAATGCAGAATCTGTTATGATCTTCGTAAGATCCACCGATGTTGTTGGTCCTTCTTCTCTGGTTGGCCCTCTCAGGACTTGGGGTGTTGCGGCGACGCTTACGAGACTGATCGGGTCTTGTCGCGCGGCCTCTCTCTCTTTGATTAAGTATCAAATGTGAACTGCAAGGACCATGAGGTAGTTTTTGGTTGCGAGAAAGTCGTGCTGGGTCTTGATTTTGTGCCACTAGTTCTTGCGAGCCAGTCGAATGCTTGTCATTTTTTCCAGGGGTTTTTGTTGCCTCGCCTGTGTCTACCTGTCCCTCTACATACTCGGTATCCTTTGTGGCTGCCAATATTGTTGAACTTCTTCCATTTATGGGCTTACTTTCTCTAGCAGTACGTTCCAAATTCAGCGCAGGTTCGTCTCTTGACCAGGGATTATTAGTCAATTTCGTAATCTCATGATTGTCAACATACATTGTTCTTCTCAGCCAGTCCAAAAGAATCATGTAGCAGAGAGGCTTCACCCTCATTTTTTTTCAATAGCATTTACAACTTCTTCAGTCTTCCCTGTGTCCTTGAGCGTGGCTGGCTTGAACCAGTCTGATTGAAGATCTTTGAGAACCTCGAGTTTCTTCTCATACTACCCTTCTTGTATTATGCCTTTGAGCAAGTCCACAATCTCTTCGACAGTGAGATGGCCTGGCTAACATGATGTTTTTGATTGATTAGCCTGGACAATTGTTCTTAAGTGATCTGTTTCAAGAGTAGGTTTATCACCGCTGTCAACAAGTTCCTCAAATATCAAGAATGCCACCTTCTTATGAAGTTCCACTACCGTATCATTTCGAAGCCATGGGGAAAGATTTGCAGACCCCGTCATCATGGTTTCACCTGACATGTTCACAACAATCGTACACAATGATATCTTCGAAGGTAATAGAAACACAATTGATAATTGACAGTCGGGAGAAATTCTACCGTCAAGTCGCGGTTTGAGTTACTTGCGCCTTTGCTTTTGCAATTTCTTTCAATTTGATTTGTGTGCGTTTATTAGTCACTGAGCATTCACACGAAATGATTGAATCAAAATTGATGATAAAATTTGATTGCGAATGGAAAAGTCTGGGAGGATGAAAGCTTTACTACCTAAAATCTATCACTATGTATTCATCATATCTCAGTGTTGGAACAGACCTATGAGCGCGTCGATGTGCTAGGTGAAAACTTATTCTTGAATCTATTGACTATTTCATAACGTTGAGGGTAGGTAGGACATTGTTGATGAGACTTCAACTGAAGATAACTTCTAGCTAGATGAGTTTCGGGCCATGTTCAGGAGCTTGGTTCCATATAAGTCTCAGCTGAGGCTCTCACATGGCATTCCGTCAAATTCACTCAGAGGGCAAGCAAAGCATCCATCGAGATCCATCGAAATTTCTACACATAGCAACCAGCTCTAGCAACCAGCTCTGACTTATGTCTTGTGAGAAAAGTATTGGGAATGGATATGGAGTTCCACGCTGTTAGTAAAGCCAAAACGAAAGAGTTCTGATACATGCTCCGGCCTGAGATTGTATCTCTTATCTGATCAGGCGCAAGACTTTCGAATCTATAGAGTATCTCATCTGAAGTTTTTGATATCGCAGAGTTCGGCAGAAGTATTAGCGCACGTGATTGGGAAAGTCAATGATCAAATCTAACTCCCTGGTGTCCCTACAAACGATGCTATAGAATTTGACTGAAGTCCATGTATCGGAGCAAAAGAAAGAGTGATGGAGCAAGTATCCCTTACGAAGATATCCACACGCAAATTCGAAGCTTCCTTTACCTTTATTACTCGTGTTGTGGGCTACGACACAAACTAGCATCATCAAAACACCACATAGTTCTAGTAGCGAGCCGGCTCATCTTGCGCCGGAAATACCAAGAATCGTGGTCATGACTCTTATTAAAAGGATATGGAAATCAATTCACCGATGTCTGGAGCAAAAGGAGATCAGTGAAAGTTACGCGATATCAATGTATCAATATAGCACCCGATAAGATTACAATCTTTTGCTAACAGCCTTAGCTATTCTCTATTATTGGTGCTATATAGGAGCATTCTTAGGATGGACAATGATCTAATCTCGCTGTGGGACTCAAGATCCTTCTGTTTGTGCCGAAGGAGTATTCAAATAACAGGAAAATGATCTACTGCACCATGCGCATGAATTGAAAGATGACCTTCATATAATACTCTCCCAAAAGAGCGAGCTATGTGACTCCTACAACAGTAGGATGGATTGGCGAAAGACGATAATCAGGAATAATCTCCCGACAAAAATATGATGTTGTGGAGTGTTGTAATGTAACATCCATGATAATGCTTAAACCAAAGTAAGAATATGAAATTAAGCAGAGTGAAAGGGCAGACTAGATATATCATAGAGCAAGAGGGGCACCTGTATTTAGTAAGAGTCTTGTGCCGTACAGAATTTGGAGGGTGAGATTGCTGTATAAGGTCGCTTAGGAAGGCGAAACCTACTTGAATTGCCGCAATTCAATGTCTTACTTTCGCATCTCATTAACGCCGAGAATAGTTATAATATGAAACATTTGCGACATCGATTCCCTAGATATGGTTTGAATATTTAATTTTGCTTGCTACTTTTCTTTACAATATCAAGACCCTCAATCTCAACCATCTCCCTGCTCTTCATTGCCACTCTCACTGCCTCGCATACCACCATCGCACTCAAACCCTCTTCCCCACTGCATATTGGTTTCTTACCTTCCTTTACTACCTGGACTAGGTGTTTGATCTGTTCATCAAAAGGCACAATTTCAGTATCAACCTGTATTTCATCTTTTTTCAACTCATCATTCCACGCCTTCTCTCCATCCCAAACTTCATAACTCCACCTTGTTAAATCAGGCACACTTATACCTCCTTTCGTCCCCAATATTCGATAGAACCCACCCGCATCATTCTCCTTACCTACCTGAGGGACAGTAGGATTTTCTCCGGTACCAGCTTCGAAATTCCATGGAGAGGGAACAGCATCGCTTAGCAAAAATGTTCCTACTACTCCACTCTCAAATCGCAATATCATCGCCCCTCCTTCTTCAGCATCAAAGCCTCTAGTTTTCTTACTCTCAATAGCAGACACCATAGTAACCTTGCCTAGTAAGTATTGTAACAAATCGAGTTCATGTATCAAATTAATGAGCACCACGCCACCGCTCTCACCATTTCTTCTCCATTCTCCAATACCGTCAAAATATGATGAGGACTTTTTCAACGCCCATATACCTTGAACACCAATTATTTGACCGAGTACTCCAGAATCAAGCTCAGTTTTTGCAGATACAAGATAGGGGTTGAAGCGTCGATGATGACCAACTAATATGGTAGCATTATATTCTTTTGCAATAGACAATAATTTAGCACCCTCTTGTATGGATGTCGAGACGGGTTTTTCCACCAGAACATATTTTATGCCAGTTTTCGATACAAGAGATGGCGATGGGAAAATGGGTATGGTTTGGGGTACAGATTAGGACTGCCTTTGGTAGCGAGGAGGATGAGAGAAGGGAGGGTAGCGAGGAGTAGTAGGTGGTCGATAGGGAAGTCGCAATTTGGACGGCATGTGGAGCAGGATCTGTGAGGGAATGCAAAGTGGCCTGTGGATTTTGAAGAATTGATTGTGCATGCCGAGGACCGATTAGACCGGAGCCTATGATAGCAATGGAGATTGGTTGTTCTGTAGATGCTGAAGTCATTGTTTATGAGTATGAGACATTGTTATTAAACAGAGCAATGATGCGATGCGACTCAACCAACAACTGCAAACCCACCTATTTACCTACCTGTCCGACTCCTTGTTTGCTTGTCTACCTCCCCGCCAGATCCTCATGCAATTGTAGATGAGCCGAGGGAGTGTCCTTCGCGCAGGTAAATGCGGAGAAATTCGATGTGCTGCCAAGCTGACTAATACGAACGTCAACACCGGCTAGCATCGCACATTAATCCCAGCTCCCCGCAAATCTTGGAACCAAGAGGCTTTTGCGGCAATGTCTTTAGCCGTATTTGACGGACAATTCTTTTAACGCATGAATTAGCCATGAAACTGTCAAATGTTTTTGATCGTACGCCTGTTTTTCTAAAATTCTTATCCATTCGGGAAGAGAATAAAAGATAGTAGTTCTATCTCTATGGGAAAAGATATGAGATGTGGACCTTATCAGGGAAGGGGAATGCACTGGCCCTTTACTTGACTGTGTCAATCTCAATCTCTTCTTGACTGTTGATGTAACTTTGTGACTTGCTGCATATATTTCTATTGTTCCCATGTCTCTTCGAGATCGTTTGTTCTCTTAGTTGATTGAACTTAAACTCTCTATATTTCGTCATATTGCTCTTCACTATTGTCGCCATTCGACTGTATCGTGTTGCGTTGCGTTGCGTTGCATACAACCAGTAATATATATTCATATCATTTTTGCATCTCTACGTAAAACCAATATCAATATGTCTTTCAAACCAGCAATTGCAAGTATGTCCCTCGGGCGCTGTTTTGCCCATCATAGTCTCGAACAAAAGTTCAAAGCTGCCAGAGATGCAGGTCTCTCTGGTATTGAAATGTGTAAGAACACCGTCCCTTCCACCACCACAAAAACTAAACTCTTCCATAGTCTACGAAGATCTAGCCGATCTCGCCTCCACCCTACCTTCTCATCCATCACCTTCCTCTCATATTCACGCTGCGCAATATATTCGCTCTCTCTCCTCATATTATGGTCTTCCCATCATAGCCTGCGGGCCCTTCTTTTGCCAAGAAGGATCTCTTTCCTCTTCCGCTAAAAAGTCTAAACTTCAAGAACTAAATCTTTGGTTCCAAGTTTGCCGTATACTAGGCACAGATATCATTCAGATTCCCTCCACATTTACTTTCTCGTCTGGAAACACCCCTTCCATATCACAAATGGTCTCCGATCTTCGCGAAATCGCCGATTTGGGCGCTGCTCAAAAACCACCTTTCAGATTCGCATTTGAAAATCTGTGTTTTGGTGCACATATTGATACGTGGAGTGGAGCGTGGGAAATCGTAAAGGGTGTTGATAGGGAAAATTTTGGATTATGTCTAGACACATTCAATATCGCTGGGCGCGAATTTGCTGACCCCGCTTCTCCTTCGGGTACTGTACCTGATGCTCAAGCGACATTCAAGAAAAGTATGGAGAAGATGATACAGACTATTGATCCCAAAAAATTATTCTACATCCAGATCGTTGATGCAGAGCGCCTGGCTGAGCCGCTGGTTGAAGGCCACGAGTTTTATACCGAGGGAATGAAAGCACGAATGTCGTGGAGCAGGAATTGTAGGTTATTCCTGGGAGAGCAGGATAGAGGGGGTTATCTTCCCGTGATGGATGTTTTGAAAGCTATATGTGATGGCTTAGGATATAAGGGTTGGGTGAGTTTCGAGTTATTCAATCGAAGCTTGGTGGAGAAAGGCGATCATGTTCCAAGAGAACATGCTGAGAGAGCTGTCAGAAGTTGGGAATTTGTATGTGAGGAGATGGGATGGGAAAATGTGTGTGCTAATGTGAACGAAAGAAGGGCAGAGAGGGAGAGAAGGGGGGAAATTGGAACTGACGTTATGGCTCGCTTGTAACTTTTGGATTTATGGAGTAGGTAGACGATATGCATTACACGGCGCTTGGCGGGATGGAAAAATTTATACATCATGGCGTTAAATATACATAGTACATATTTTGTACATATCAAATATGATTGTTAGTTAGCAGTTATATCTTCCGCTATTAACATTGAACCCTGCATGAATCCATACAAAACCATTTATCTCTTCGGAGGTTTTTTTTATTTAAAGCAGAAGCACCTCAACCATTCCCACCAGGATTTGTTCTTTGCTCCTCGGCAGCACTCAGTGCCTGGAGTATCTGCCCTGCCTCGATTCCCTCATCGCCGTGTCCAAAATCCATTCCTCCTCCAAACACTGCACCGCCAGGCATGCCCATTCCTATATTTCCAAAACCAGGATTATCCATCCCCAATGAATCTGCTGCAGAGCTCGCTAGCAGTTGTTGAAATATACTATTGTCCGAATATAGCGGGTCAGGTTCCCGGCAGAAAGTGTAAAAATCCTTATTTCGGTTGTCGGGATCCTCAAATCCAAGATTTACTAAACTCTGATCCATACTGTTCGTCCTACATGCTGTTAATACAAGATTTTTCTTACTATGTGCGGTTTCGAAAGAATAACGTACCACTCCATTGCATCCATGACAGCAAAATCGTTAAATATCGAATCACCATCGGTTTCCAGGCTGTTTGGAAGTACTGTTTGTTGCAAGTTGGGAGATTGCTGGAGCAACCCAAACGGCATCTGATTAGTTGCCCGGTTTTGGTTCTGATTTTGTTGAGGAGCACCCCATGAGTTTAGAGTTGTGGTATTTCCGTTGTTATAGACCGATTGAGGGCTCTCCGAGATTCTTGTAGAAAAATTCTCTGTAAGAGAACCATTAAAAGAGTGATTGGACTGCGTCACCGACGAGTTAGCAATTACTTGTGAAGAAAGTCTTCAGTAAAATAAGGAACAAAACTTTATGTCGAGATGAGAATGGCACGGTCGCACGGTAGCCCTGATTCTCGAAGTTTCGACACCAAGCTTTGAAAACAAAATTTCACGCAATGTCGCAAGCTGGAGAATTCAAAATCAAGATATGAATGGACTTACATGTGATGTTGGCGGCACTAAATTCTTCGTATATTGGAGATTACTCCTAGTGGGCCGTGATGTATCCATGCTATTCATTGATTGTGATCGGAAGACTTGAGGACTATATGGCTGACTAATTTCGTAGCTGGCTGTACTATTAGGCGTTTTGGCCGATTGAGGTGTTTCGGCGGCTGCTGGGACCATGAGATCAAAGGCAGCTTGGCTTTCACGTCGGTTTTTTAGTAGGGCGATTTCGGCAGCATCTTTGAAAGATTCAAAAACTGGCCATGCTGGCTCCATGGTAGAAACGCACATATCTAAGTTGTACTTCCAATCGTCGAGAACTGCGATGTCAGGTTGTCAGTAATGGATCGTCACAGAAGACGAAAGAAACGAAGAAGTTTAGGCATTAAGGAAGAATCAGAATCCAAAAAGAAGTAGGGCACTGGGAAGGGAGAAAACAAAATCAAGCTCACCAATGTGTGTATTGTCAATACTTCGCAGAACCGCATGAACAACATCATATGCTTTCTTGGTGAAGTACTCGAATGTTGGTGGAATTATTAGAAGCCCAAATGTATAAGAATGTCGTTTCAAAAGGTGAACGATTTGCCGTGCCGATCTTGTGCAAGGTTCTAAATCAGGGCTCCCCTTTCTTTGACCATGTGATAAGAGCTGACATTCCGCAAGCGTGGTGAAATATGCAATATGAAGATGATAATGATGCGGTAGCAGCGAAGAAGCTTGCTCGCTATTCATTGCAGTAGAGTCGAAATATAAAGGCTGCGATTGGGATCGACTCCAGATATGTAACCTTTCCAGCAATCCGGTGCTGAATTGGACAGTTTTTGCACTATCGGATGCGAAACTTGCATCATTCAAAATTTGGAGAACTTGGACGAGACGATTGAAAGTACTCAGGATAGAGGCTGGAACTCTAGAGTTTCCAACAGCACTCCTTCGCGCAGTGAGACAGTCCGTCCAAGGATCCCATTCTTCCAAACCATCTTCGACTAACATTCCAATACAGTCCAGATCATCTGATCTTAAATGTGGACGTCTTCGTAGGCGTGCTGCGACCAAGGTATCCAAAGCAAAACAACCTAGAAACACGTGCTTAGATCTCGAGTTATGCCTTGATGATTTTGGCTCCTCAACCAACGGTTTCTCAAGACCGAGCTCAATAGCAGTCCTGACAGCTTGTCCAATAAGTATCCATGCCCTGTTTGAATGCCCAAGTCCAAAATTTGTGAGAGTCAAGATCAGGAGAGCTTGCACATGGCCAAGGTCTAGATTTCCTTCTTCATTTGGAATAAGAGCTCTCGCGTGTGTATACATCCTTTCGGCCGTCCATACATCTTGTGATACCAACCCTTGAGCATGAGGTATATTGTTGATAGCTCGATGTTGAAATTTGGCATAGGCTATTGCAGCCCATAAAAGTGCGTGATCTCCACTGACAACCTCTGCTCCACTGGTCCTTGTTTGAGAATATTGATACGATATTCTCAATAAGTCATGCTTTTCTATAACAGGGAGCCAACAATGAGTATAAGAAAAATATACATCAAGGAGATGCCAGGTCTCAGATGGAAGCTCGGGCAGATTTGATCTACCAACCGCAGCTGCTGGGTGAGCAGGGCTCAAAATCGATCCGCGGTGTGTGATGGGTTCTGGAAGACTGTTGGAAAACTTTCCGACAGAGCCTCCAGCTATTGGGGACGCAGGCGGCTCCTCTTGAATCTGAAAATCGACTTTCTGATCGGACCAGCCACTGATTGAAGTCCGCGGTGGAGGTTCATTATCTGGAACAGATATAGGAGAATCGGATTGGGCGCCTAGACTACAAGCCGAGAGTCAGCAAAAGTTAAGCTTCCATGTATATGGAAAATTCTAAGCAAAGTCCATATCTTCAGATTTATTTAGATATTTAGCTAAGACTGAACGTGCGATCGAATGTGAACGATAAATCAGGTTAAAAATTTCAACTGCTTTGGAAGTTTGGAGCCGAAGATATCAAACTCAATGTGAAAATTCAAC